ATTGATGGGGGGGGGGCTTGTGAAACTATGAGATTATGACTCTTTTTCAGCTGTATGACTGAAAGGCTGGGATGCAAATACTTTTTATACACAGAGGCAATGACCATCTTAAGCCCTGACATTACACACCAAGGTTAGCAGGTGTGTATAACCTGCACTGTGTCCCTCCCAAGTGCTACCCTCTTCATGGTGAAGTGACAGCTGTACCTCCTATTGTTTAGGAATGGGTGGGAACTACCATTCAGCCTGTAAATACTATACAGAATGAAACTCAAAAAGTTACAAATCAAATCCCCATTAGTATCACTGACCTCATTCTTTACCTGGAAGAATTCTCTCCAGAGATCAGTAATTTAAGTATATCTATCCTTGATAACCCAGTAGGCCTGAAAATGAAATAGCTTCTCTAATGTAAGCAACAAGAATCAATAACCATTAAGCACATAAGTATGTTTTATTGTCTGAAGCATATGAGTATACAAGTCAAGCCATCACTAGACCAGTTCATTTTGGTAATTTGTAGGCACCATGGACAGGCAGAGTTGTGGTCCTTGTAGACCATATGGAATAGGCCAGGTGCACAAGATGTCGTAGCTCTGTAAATGAGACTTCCCTGGGAGAGAACAGCTAAGTGGAGAGTTTTGCCTGGTATTGTGAGCATAGGCTACATTAAGGGTTAGTTTTGTTCAATAAAACCATGGAATTAGCTGTGGCCAAAACGATGCCTTTTTTCTGCATGTATCAGCAAAGCATTAAATAACTGTTGCTGTCAAAGTGTGATGAAGCTAAGATCTCATCTTTGCAGATTCAGCTATGATTCACCAAGAATTGGAGAGGGCAGGAAATGAAGGAATTGTTCCGTAGAAATACAGAATCTCAGAATTTTTAGTGTTGGAAGGAACCTCTGGAGATCATCTAGTCCAACCCTCCTCCCAAGGAAGGGTCATCTAGAGCAGGTTACCCAGGATTGTGTCCAAGTGGGTTTTGAATTTCTCCAGAGAGGAAGAATCCATAATCTCCCAGTGCTCTACCAGCCTCAGTGTAAAGAAGTCCTTCTTCATGTTGAGGTGGAACTTATTCTGTTTTAGTTTATGGCCATTACTCCTCCTTTGGTGACTGGGCACCACTGAAAAGAGTCTGGCACTACCCTCTTGAGATATTTATGTGTGTTACTGAGATCCTCTCTCAGTTTTCTCTTCTCTAGACTAAACAGGCCCAGCTCCTTCAGTCTCTCCTCATAAGAGAGAAATTCCAGAGCACTAATCATCTTTGTGGCCCTCTGCTGGACCCTCTTCTGTACCACCTTGTCTTTCTTGAACTGTGGAGACCAGAACTGAATACAGTACTCCAGATGTAGCCTCATTAGGCCCAAGGAGAGGGGGAGGATCACCTCCCTGACCTGCTGACCACACTCTTCCCAATGCACCCCAGGATACCACTGGCCCTTCTGGATCTCTCCAGATGCTTTCCCAGAGCCCAGGGTTTCACAGAAAGCAGAGAAAATCCCGCCTTTAGCGGTTGTATTCAGTTCCATATATCTGTGTGCTGCAGGACACGCCCACAAAATATGTTTGTTTATTTTCCAGCACTGCAAGCCTGCAAAGTTGTACTTAAGAATGAAAGAGATTCCCCTTCCTTGCATTCACTCAGAATTCCTTTCTCTTTTTAAATTACTGGAAGATGGTAATACCCAGAGATAAAGTGATAGCAATGTGGCCTAGCCTGAAAAGAACCAAGTGAGAGGTATGGATATGAAGAACAGATTAAAAATTGACTTAACATGGTGTGTTGCACTGAGATTTTGGTGCTGATTCACTTCAGAGAGGCAACTACCACAATAACTGAGTAAAGAAGCAGTAGAAACATTTCAAAATAGATTTCCATAAATATGAAAAAAAAAAAATCTGACATAACTGAACAAGATGTAATGTGCTGACGTGGGAATGGCTACAAGACAGATATAAATGTGCATTATGTGGTCATTTTTTTACATATGTGATGCAAGAATTGATATATTGTTAGGCTCTACAGAGACTATAGTCTTCCACAAGCATCACCCAATGCAATAAGTGCTCTGTGTCATGGGACAAAGGAGTGATTGTGGCTGCTTTGCTGTCCTTATTATCACTGTGGGTTATTCTAGCCCTGCTTTGCATACACATAAATGCTAAATACTCAAACTGGCATAATTCTTTATTTATCAGAGCATTTTCTTCCACACATTATTTTGGAAATAATTTTTTCCTATTTTGAAGTTTTTCTAAACCATGAGCATTCTGCTGGTTGATGTATAGAGACCACCATTCTGTTACTTCAGTGTGAGCTAAACTAGCAATTTTTTCCAGTTATTTTTTTAACCTGAACAAAATACACTCCTCAGGTGAAGCTGGCAAAATATCTGTGCATCATCACATCTATCTCTCTACTATTCTAAGGCTGGTACTACAAAATGAATGCCACTACTATGCACACTGGGGACTCCCCTGACTTTTGTGATTATGTAACCTTCTGGTTGTCTTAATTGCTATTTTGTTTAAGCAGTAGGAGAAATGAAAAGTCTCCAAAATGTCACCCTTAAAAATCTAAAGTCTATGTTTACTTACTCAAAATTGGCAGCAGCATTTTTATGATGCACAGTCTCTTGCTGTTTGCTTCTGGGACACATTTCTCTGAGGTGAGAAGTTTTCTTGGAGACTATGAGGTTTTTGCACCTCATCAGGAGAGTATCTGTCTGGAATCCTTGAAATATTTCACAGCCCACCTTAAGACTTACTTTTTAGAAAGTACAAACCATGAAGGCTTTATAGTTTTTATCTTAGTTGTCATATTCTTTCCACTGTCCACTGCAATTATCACATCTACATGAAGCCTAACCTTCTGTAGTTGCATTACTTGTGAGCTTGCAGCCAAGCAGTACAAAATAAACTCAGTATAATGTTACCAAAGGCTGATATAAGTGGTCCTCAATGAAGCAGGATAACTTTGTAACTGTTTGTCTGTAGGTAGTAGAAAGCATCCTTAAAAACATGCTGCAGTGCCACCAGTCCATGAAAAAGCCAAGGTCAGCATTAGCATGATCATTGTCATGAACATACAGAAATACAAATAGAAACCAAGTATCCAATTCATAGGTTGAAAATTAGGTTTACAAGTAAAGTACGATTTTAAGGGTCCACAAAAAAAAATTGAAGGGAAAGATTAATTTTTTTCTACTAACTGGAGATAGGTCAGATCTAATGCTTGGGTTTGTTAAAGCTAATTTGCTGGAAAACAAGCAGTATCTGCTCTTCTTCCTTTTTGCTATATGTCACTGAGTAGTACCAGGTAATTCCTCTGTTTCTCATAACATTTCATATGATAGTGAATTTAGACTAGCATTTCTATTAGAAAAAGAACACCATGACCACAACTGGGAATGCAAAAGTGATGAAAACAGTAGTCAAGTACCAGATTTGGAAAACTGACCCACACAAGCAGCTCTTTACTTATGGTAATCATGTAAGTGATTAACACGATTAGATTAACACAAATGGAAATATAACGCAGATGTAGTTGGCTACAGCTAGCAAAATACCAATGGTTTGTTATTTTGAACCATTACGCTGACTTGAAAAGAATGAGTCTAGAAACGCATCTCTATTTAAACACAGAAACACTGAAAACCTTGTTGCATCAGGAACAGAATTGACCTTGAACTATATATTCCTTAAGTTTCTTGTTCATCATTCATTAAATTAAAAAAAAAAAGGCAGAAAAATTGTCCTAGTTATCTCCTTTTGATGACTTGAATGTAGGAAGACTCTACAGAGGAATCTGGACAGTCTGGATCGATGGGCTGAGGACAGTGGCATGAGGTTCAATAAGGCCAAGTGCTGGGTCCTGCACTTGGGTCACAACAACCCCAGACAGTGCTACAAGCAGAGTGGCTGGAGAGTAGCCAGGCAGAAAGGGACCTGGGGGTCCTGGTCAACAGCTGGCTGAACATAAGCCAGCAGTGTGTCCAAGTGGTCAAGAAGGCCAATGGCATCCTGGCTTGTGTCAGGGCAGAATCAAGCTTGCACCAGGGAAGGTTTAGATTGGATTTTAAAAAAAATGTCTTTGCCGAAAGGGTTGTCAAGCATTGGAACAGGCTGCCCAGGTTAATGGTTCAGTGACCTTTCCTGGAGGTATTTAAAAGATGTGTAGATATGGCACTAAGTATAGGGTTTACTGTTGAGCTTGGCAGTGCTGGGTTGAGGGTTGGACTTGATGATCTTAAAGGTCTTTTCAAATCAAAATGATTCCATGAAGCTATAATTCCATGAATTAAACTTCAGTGATAACAAATACTGGGGAATAGACAGATGGAAAAGCTGCTCACTTTTTTTGGATAACTGTGGACCACAGTATATATCGTTCCCTGAAAACAAGTGGCTTTCATCCCTTTGAAATTTTCTGCAGTGTAACAGTGGATTCTTATACTCCTAAGAAAGTTTTAAGATTTCTGGGTTTGATTTTCATTCATATGCAACATTTTTTTTGGAAAACTTTTCCCATTGTACTCCAATGTCTATGGATTAATATGGTTAAAGAGAAATTGATGAGATTTGAGTCCTGCAAACTGATCAGTGAATCTGTTTTTACTGTTGGATTTTCTTTTATATTCAATTTGGCTTTCACAACAATAGCTGTAACTTCTTGTTATGTCACAAGTTATATACAACAGTGTCATTTGAATGTAACCTGCTATCAGCAGCTTGTGGGACACTCAGTGGTCAAAACTGAGGCCAGGAAAGCAGAGTGTATCATGTCAGCAGTTCTTAGAAGAATAATAAATATGTATGTTGGAGGTTTTTACATGCAGGTATCTCAAACTAGATGAAAGAGAACAGAATTTCATAACTAAATTAAGACTTAGAGCAAGGGTTTGTGAATGAACGACACAATCCTCTGCTATTCTGGTAATGACAAGAAGAAATCCAGAAAAGATGGTGGAAGTGAAGTTATCTATAAACACTTACTGCAAGGAAGATCTGAAGAGAACTGTGAGCCACCTCTATGTACTGATATTCAAGAAAACACCCCGAGACAGTGATATAACGATGATCCTCTGGTGCCCAGTCTGGTGCTGGGGTTACTGAGGTCACGGTGCAGCCTGGCCCGTTCTCCATCCACCAAGAACGATGCATTGAGATATTAAAGGTCAGAATGAGGTCTGTTTCCTGTAAAAGAATAAGTGAAGAATTAATGCATGGGGATGGTACTCCAATCTCAAATGCCTCAGCAAGAGATTTCACAGCATGCATAAAGAAGCAAAGAGCAGTGATAAAACTGCACTGTCACATGAAAGTTAGTGGAGCTTGCCTGCTGCAAGCAGAAGTAGCTGTACCTTGGCAGGTAGAAATTCTCTGGAGCAGAAAAATAATCCTGCAAGCCAGGATCTCTTCCTAGACATTATGGTAGGCTATACTATAGCAGTAATTTCTGTTACATCACCCATTTTCTGGTAGATAACATAAGGATTGATGGATATGCACACCTACATAGCAACCCTCCTCTGCTCGGTTCCTAGAAATATGGCCTATGTTTTGTTGGTCTGATGTATACAAGAATCCTAAGGTACCAAAATTTAATAGACTTTGATATGCATGGAACATCTGCAAGGAGTTTTTGTCTAATGGACCTGTGGTAGCTCTACTGAAATATTGGAGAAGATGTGAAAAAGGATTCTGTACATTTTCTTACAGGTAAAACCTCTTTGTAATGCTTCTCTCAGATTTCTAATTTCCTAGGAGCATGTAAAGAAATAGTGAGAGTTGCCTTGTCAAAAGATTGCTTGACTTGTTAAAAAGCAGGGGCGGAGGCATGCAACCTTTAACTCCCATACAGCTAGCGTGATGGAGTAACTAGTCAGCCATGCTTTCCATTAAGATTGCATTTATAAATAGTTCATAAAGGATTAATAAATTATTAATATACATCATAAACAATACTACTAATATTACTTTCATAAATTATACGTGGTGGCACATTACTTGAGGGTGTTACACATAGTTATAACAAAACTAGGGACTCTGTGGATTCTGTAATAGCCTACAGTGTTTACCAACACTTTATGAATAATTTATAACTGTAACCTCATTGTAAAGTGTGACTATCTAGTCTGTGTGCACATGTGCTCAGTCATGCAAAAAAAAATTGCTTTTAAGTAATGTCTTTGCAGAGCCAAACTCTCCCCACACCTAACCTACATTTTTTTTCAGCCTATTGATATCATTAATAATTAAGATTCTCATAAAGATTTTAAAATGTAACTATTTAATTAAGTTTACTGTGCCAAAAGGAATAGAATGCATTTCTGTAGCAGATACACTATATCCACATTTCCCTCTCTTCAAAATAGTCCCACTTATTTTCCATTTTTACACTAACTCATAAAAAGGCAACTCCACCCAGAGAGGTTTTGGAAAATGTCGCATGTCACTTGATCTGTGACTACCCTAGACACTGAAATGGAGCTGAATGTTTTTTTCTCTAAGTTGCAGTTCTTCACCAAAAGTACAGAAATTTTGTACATTAAAAAAAAAATTGATTACTGCCCTGCATAAGCATGTACAGCTAGCAGATGGCAGAAAGGACCTTAAATATGCTCGTGATGAATAATTACCCTCCATTCTCACAACAGTCCAATCCAACAAATAATAAACTCTATGAGAAAATGTAAAACGCTCGTATGAATTTAGTCAGGCAATTAACTTCAAGCATTTGAAGGTAATCAAAGCAACAGTGAATGTATAAACTACACAAATTTTTCCCAAACGTATATATTTATGTATGGCTGTAAGTCTTCATCCCCAACAAACCTCTCCTTTCTCTGGAACCCTAGCTACCAAAGCTGTAGACACTGGAAATGTCTTCCATGTGTTTCTTGGAAATCGATACTTTTACCTTACACCCAAGCCCGAAAATTATTTTTTTTTTCTGGAGTCAGGGCCCCTCAAGTAGAACACTAGTCTTCTTACCTGGAGTAAGAAGTTAAATAATGGGTATCTTCGGAGTAACTTTTCTTAAAGTACCATATTTATTCCTAAATAACTAAAATTGGAATCCATCGTGTTATTGTCAAAAGAACTTTCAGCCATTCCAGTTACCATGGAAAATTCTTAACCTCTAGTCTCTTATCAGAGATGTAGCACAAATGAATAGAACTCATTATCTGTCTCTATTTTATCACTTGCAATACCTTCAGAAGAATCATGATAGACTAAAAATATTTTATGAAGTGCAGAGAAGGGATGAAAAATGTATTCCTTGAAAAAGAATGGGATAAACTGGCTTGCAGGAACTGAGTGTTATGCATCTGCCAGATGAAGAGGTAATGGATCAGGAGGAGCTAAACATAAAAATTCAAAACTGGGCTCTGTGGGTAGAAGATCATTGCTCTAGAGGCAATTATTTTTGCTTACAAAGGGTACAGTAATCCAAAACTTTACAAGTCAAAAGCACATGTAAATTTCCAAGTTACACAGGGAAATATAATCACATATTCAAATAATTACATTTGCAAATAAAACTTCACAAAATCTAGCTTTCTTCCATCCCTGAATTTATCCCCAGGTGATTTTCTGAAATAATTTGTAATATTTACAAAATTCCTTTACTCTCAAATCATCTTTTGACAGTTAAGTCGAATGTTGTGATCAGGACTAAATAATGTTGTTTAGTTCAAAAATAGTCTTTGAATGTTTATTAGTGGAAAAAATTACAGATATTTATCAGATCTATATTCTATTTCTTACTCTGAATAATCATAAAATGCTGTGTAGTTTCCCTTGGTCATAAAATAGACTTAATATCCGGCACAGAAACACTATATTCCTTAACTCTTTATAATAATAATAAAATAAATCCTACTGAATGCCCCAACTTCAAATCTTAAAGAATTTTGAATAATGCAGTTGAGAAGGCTTTCAAGGAACAGTTATCACACATTGAACCAGTTAACAAAAAAAGGTCAACATCAGAAAGCAAAACAATAAGCAGATATGAAATCTAGTTCCGGTAAGATTAGACATCATCCATGGCTCAGGTCCAACTTGGATGGATTAAGAATGATAATGAAATAAGATTTTGACAAGTCAAAGTTAGACAGTTAGTGTAAGTTAGATTCTGTAAATTCCTATCCCCCAAATATGTGGGACGAGAATAAATAGAGAAGGAGCCTATTAACTACAAAATCAGCTGCTGCACAGTTAAATCTTCTCAGGCATAAATTGTTATGCACTTTGAACTTGTCTATAACCTTCAAGCCATGTTTCCCTACATGTAACCATATTAGCAGAGCAGTTCCTGTTACTCAGTATTGAAGGTCACCTGGCTTACGAAAATGTTTCTCTTAGTGAGAAAACTCTTAAAGACTTGAATCCCCTTGTAGAACTGTGGAAGCCAACAAAGGGATGATGTATCTATTATTAACATCTCTTATACTGACAGCATTTAGAGCTATTTTTGGACAAACTCTGCTTGCTATTTACTTTGTTCCCTGTTTGAATACAGTTTTAGTGGACATAGACAAAGTCTACACCAGAGTCTGCAGATTTACTATACTCTCCAGTGTATTTGTCGTCTGTTTTCTTTCCAACATCTGTGGCTCAAACTTTGTTCAGAGTAATGCAGAAAAATGGTCTGATAAGCCTTGAAGCTATGAAGACTAACAAGAATTGTTGATACACATTGGGTAAACCAATATGTTGCTGTTCACAATCTGTATGTCAAGGAAGATTTCATTATCCTAAATTCAACAAACAGCTGCTTCCTTCGTGGGCACAGAAATACATCTGTATGGGCTTTATTGCCAATCACTGTTCTTCTTTTGTAAATTCTGCTGGTATTTGTAAAGCTTGTTAATGAAAATTGGTGCATTAAAGTAGATTTTGCTATTTATCAAAGAGGAAAAAGACAGAGAAAAATATTTAATAGGACATCTTTGCTGACATTCTGAAGATGTGCTGTTATTTGTAGTGGTCAGTACTGCCTGATAAGGCAAAGCCTGGACTTTGGAGGTCTTGGAGACACACATCTCAGAGATTAGGATCTGAGACATCTTCAAATTAAGTCTGTAATTTTATTTCAGTTGAGTTTGTAAAAAAATGTTGAACTCTGATGGTTTTGTGCCTGTGTTTAACACAGTAGATAACAACTTTTGCTGGGGTTAACTGCACAGTTCATAAAATTTTCTGGCTGAGGACAACTGAGGACAGAGCATGGCAGCAAAAAGCTTTGTAAGAGATTCTAGAAAAAGAATACAAGCTTCTCTGTAATAAGAAGCATCAGGAGTACAGCAGTGCTTAAAAGGAAAATACCTCTGTGTGCATTGTATTAGCATTAGTACATATTAGTAAGTATACTATGTCTATGCAGTAATTACACTATATTACTGTTTCAATGAGTTTTGCTGGTTGCACCTTAGAGAAGCTAATTCCAGACAGTGCTGTGAGAAAAAAGAGTTAGCAGTGGTTCAGAGTGATTCTCCTTAAAAGTCCAGGAGATCTCACAGACTCAGGAAGTTAAATTGTACTGACTTCAATGGTTGTGGCTTGCTGTGTCATGGGAAATATTTCTTCCATTTTTCTAATTGGAATTGCTAAAATCTCTGCAAACCTGCCAAGCTTTTATACAACTTTTGTCAAATACAACCATGTAACCACTTGTTTCATTTATCAAACTCAAACTACCAAGAACAGGCTGTTTGGAGACTGAATGATCACATAAGGTTTCAGTGATAAAAGATCTGAGTCTGAAAGCATTTGTAGTTCTGGATGCCGCAGATGCACAGAGGCCTCTACAGGCATTTTTTTCTTCTGTTATCTCACTTATTCCACTAAAACTATCTCCCACCAGGCAGTACCATTTTCTCATACAAGCAGACCTGTTCCTGTCTAAAGAAAAAATCTGTCCTCATTGAAGAGCCAAAACAGAGCTTATCAGCTGTGGGTTTTTTTCCTTTTTTCTTTTCTGTTGCAATTGAACTGATTTTTTAACCTCCCCAATTTTTGTATGTGTGTAATGCTTTCTCTTTCATTTGAATTTTTTTCAGTAACCTAGAATCACATACTTTAATTTCCTCTTGTAAAACAATTTTGTACCTATATAATTTAAAATTGGATACAGAATTTAATTTACATATACCATTAATCAGATAAGATTTAACCAAGTCTGAATC